CATGGTTACAAACAGAGTATTGTTCTGACAGAACAATTGATCAGTTCATGAAGACAGAATGCTCCATCAGAATGACGAGGCAGGATGGTCTCCTGACTGCATCATGACACAGGAGTGGAGCATCCCCTCGCACAAATGTTTCATAAGCACACATTAATGTTATAATCACTGAATAAACCTAACAAGCATCACAAAGATCAAGAGGAACAGCAGACGGGTCAGGAAGAAACACACTGGAAAAACGGTCTAGAAATAATTAAAGATGCCTTAAATTAAGTGTATTTATCCTTAAAATGAGTCGGTAAATGAGATAGTTTGCCAATGGAATGACTATTTTCACTCTTAAAATAAGATAATTAGATAACATACACTTGAAATAAGAAAATGCAATTCTGTTTTCTTATTTTAAATGTAAATTGTCTCGTTCCACTGGCATAATGTGTCTTTTACCTCCTCAATCCAAGAAGAAATGCACTTATTTTAAGAAAAGAAAAGACTTATATAGATTTAAATTTTTTCCAGTGCATGTTAAGATGTGATGAGTTATAAAACAATATTTCCCAAACTTTAAAACACCTTAAAGAACATTGGTAAATTTGTCTGAAAAAAATGTAAGATGTATGCAAAGGTCGTCAACAGATCTAATGATATCTATCGGTCAGAATGGCCTAGTTAAAGTCCGCACCTAATCCAATTAAAACATGTGAGGAGTTGTCAAAGAATTAGCTATGATGGTGATGCTAACTCTGGAGGAGCTGGAGAGATTCACAGATCAGGTGGGAGAATCTCAAAAATCTACCTTTTATGGAAAGAAAAAGAAAACTGTTAGTAGTTTGAGACAAACACAAGTGTATTGTGGGGGAGAGATGGCCAATCCTGAGGTTCTGAGTTTGAGCCCCACTCCCACAGACTGCCACTCTGGGTCCTTGAGCAAGACCCTTAACCCCACACTATTATTATTGGTCTATGCGCTAAACATGCAATGCACTAAATCACTAAATATACAGCATCCATCTGCTGAATTGTGGCGGCGCTCTATGAAACTGTGTGGATGATTCTATTCAGCAGGAAATGGGATGCTGCTCAGAGTTTATGTTAATTGATGGAGTCAAATAGAGGTTAGAAAAAAATGTCTAGACGCTACAAAACATTAGAGACGGGGATAAAGATTCACCTTCCAGCAGAAAACCAAACTTCTAAGCAGACAGCTACAGTGAAAACGACACCAAAGAGAGAAAAAATTTCACTCCCATGTAAAAGATGAAAAAGAAGTTTCTGAATATGCAAATCTAGGTGACACAGGTCTGCCCTCCAAAACAGAACTACAGCTGCAACGTGACAAAATATGAAAAAAAAAAGCTGAAGGAGTTCAGCTGGAATAATTCCTACCGTTTCTTGTGTACTCTCAACATATGGGTCTGTGGAGGGAAAAAACAAAACAAAAGGTTAATGCAGAAATCTGAGACAGATTCTTTTAAATAAAATGCTATTAATCTGAAAAAAAAAAAAAATACATGTAGAACATCCCAAATGTTTAAATTATGTCTTGTAAATGCCTGGCTTAAAATGCAGAATATATTCATGCGACAGAGGAGCAGATGCACGCCAGCAAGGTCAGACGTTAAGTTGTGCATTTGCTAAAGGTCAAAACTTTGTAGATTTCTATTTGTTGAATATTCTTTGGTCCATATATAGTATATATGTCTGCTGGTTTCTGTTTTATATAATGGATTTTTTCCCCAGACAATTCTTCAAAATTTAAAAGCCTTTTCTTATATGACTCTTCATGAAATGAGAGTGAATTAGAACCTTGTGGATTGTAGGTAAAGGAGTCAATTTTTGCTAAAGTGGATGAATTGAGTGAGAAGTGATGGATAAGTCTTACTTTTAAGGGTCCCTTTTTGTTTCTTGCCACCGTTCTTCCCCTTCTTTTTCCCAGGAGACGCCCTCACCGCCTCGTACAAGTTTTCATTGCTTTCGTTGCTTTCGTTCAAACTGCTGCGGTATATTGTGTGAGGGCTGTATAGAACAAAATGTTCATTCCACTGAAACATTCAAATCACTTTTTGGAATTCAATTTTAAATGCATTAAAAATAATCTTACTCGTCTTGTGGGGGCAAGTGATTTGGAGCAGCTTGCAGGGGTTGATCCTGCGGAGGATTACATCGGTAGTCATCCTCATGCGGCGTCTCGGTGCGGACCTCAGTTTCTGGCTCACTGATCCCATTGCTATAAAACTCTGGCTGCCGTGGTTCATCTGGAACGTCGGCGCCAGTAAATTCCTCGTTCCCAGACTCAGAAACCGGCAGCTCCTGCGAGAAACCATCCGCCAGATCATCGTACTCGACGGCGTCTGTAGCGTCAGGCTCTGAAAACTCAGGCGGGACAGGAATCTCTGTGCAACAGGAGGGCAGATAAAGGGAAAAGACGTTTTCTATTGAAACTTTACAACAGCAGTCTGCTGGTGAAGGTTCTCAGTCATCAAGGTCATAGTCATTCCAAAAAAGGTCAAATACAATCCACTAGACTTTGTTTCCAATCCTATGCATGAAGCTTTTTCAATTTCAAAATGTCCGAAGTAGTGTTGAGGTCGACCTTATTGAGGAGACCAAAAACAATTCAATTTACATGTTTTCTAAGGCTTTCTTTTTAGAAAACTGACATTTTGAACTGAAAAAGCTTCCTGGATGGGAAGAGAAACGTCTTCAAACTTGGAAACAAAGTCCAGTGGATTGATTTTTTTAACTTTTTTGAGTAAAACAGAAGGGATTTCCAGTGATGGGAGTAACAGCATTGAAAGTAACGGCGTTACTAACGGCGTTACCTGTTTTAGTAACGAGTAATCAAAATTATTACTCTTAGTGTAACTATAGCGCAGTTACCATTGCCAACACCCCGTTACTGCACGTTGCTCAGGTCGCACAATTAACCTTTTTTCATGATAGGACTCGTGCGGAGAGTGAGGAGGACTCCAGCGGCAAAACAGCCTTTTCCAGATGGAAATACCGCTGTTATGTCGAGCTGCGTTTCCCCATCAGATATGGTTTCCCCTAGCCTCGTGAG